ACACACACACACACACACACACACACACACACACACACACACACACACACAAACATTCCCTGTTTCAACATCAGGTGTACGACTTCGGCTACGACGCCGGGACCGCTGAGGCAGTGGGCGTGTTCCACTTCCCCACCATGGACAAGGCAGTCCTGTTCTTCCAGCTGGACCCCATCCTACGTCAACCCGACTTCCCCCCGCCTTACGGACACTCGGCTATGTGGATCGTGTGTAACGCCTATCTACCCGACAACATGGACTGTGAGTTGGTTTTCTTCTGTCTGTCTGTCTGTACGCCTGCCTGTCTTTCTGTCTTTTTGTCTTTCTCCCTGTCTCTCTAGCTATGTGTTTCTCTCTGTTTGTCTGTCTCTCTCTCTTTCTCTCGCTCTGATTCTCTCTTTCTCTCATTCTCTCTTTCTCTCATTCTCTCTCTCTCTCTCTCTCTATCTCTCTCTCTCTCATTCTCTCGCTCGCACTCTCTCTCTATGTCTCGCTCTCTTTGTCTCGGCGCGCGTGTGCGTGTGTGTGTGTCTCTCTCTCTGCCTCCCTTTCTGTCTCTGTTTTTCTGTATGTCTCGCTCGCTCTCTCCCTACCCCTTCACTCTCTCCTTCTACACCCTCTCTTTGTCTCTGTCTCTCTCTCTCTCTCTGTCTCTCTCTCTGTCTCTCTCTCTCTCTCTCTCTCTCTCTCTCTCTCTCTCTCTCTCTTTCTCTTACAGGGTTGCAAAGTGTGTTAAACCAATACAATTTAGCACATTTTTCTTGTCTGGATACAACAAACACAATATCTCTGGACATTCTATCTATGAAATGAATAAAATATTAGCCTATTATATGGGTGAATTCTTTAAGGTCAAAATACAGGTAAACCTCCTTTTCGAACCTTATTTTGTATACACACTCGGGGTTACGTTAATTACGAGCGACCTTTTAACTTTTAAATCTTTTGTTTCTGACTTGGGGTATAGGGGAGGGACTGAAGGGTGGTCTGAATTAACTTTTAAAATGTATCCCTCTCTCAGGCTCGTGAGATTCAAGGGACAAAACTATTATAATTCTAAGGTAGTTTTCCGAGTTACATCCCTTTACGCCGAGGATTGGCGAAGGGGAAAAATGACGTTTCTAGTTTCTTGCTAAGATTTTAAAAACAAAACAAAATCAAATCAAAACGCTTCAAAAGGAGTCTCTTCATACAATGACATGTTGTGCTTCATTTGGTATAGCAGATGTTGGGGAAATTTAGTTCGTAGTAGACCAATTGAACACCTTTTAAAAAGTTGTCCTGTTCCTTGCAAGGTTTGGAACTCACATACATTCGATTTCACTTGAGTGCATTTTAGTGGTTCTTTTTTATATTGTAGAACTAATTATACTCGTATAGGCCTTTCTGATCATGTATTGAGGGCAACTTGACTTGGATACTTTACCTGGATAATTGCCCGTTCAATATTTGTAAGACCTTGTCAAGTTCATAATTTTTCGTTTGCGTCAAAAAAGGTGAACCACTTAGCTGTCAATTCAGGCTGTTCAGAGTTTTAGTTTCTCTACTAGTATAATAGTACAGATTGTGAAGCGAATAGAGCTTGCTGTTGAGCGAGGATTTGCTATACATTGTATATTATTATTATTATTATTATCATTATTATTATTATTCTCGACCATTGAATGGTGACAAGACCAGACCAGACCATCAATGCTTTATTTATAGAGGCACCAGCCATCCATGTCCAGGTGCTGTTTTAACCTCTTTTTCCTGTATGCGGATTAATAATATTTTTTGCCAATTTATTGATGCCGCTTCTATGTACCCCATATCTATGGTTCTCAACCTGGAAATCGCCTATAATTCGCTGTAATT